CGTCAGGAGCTAGACTAGCAATTCGGCCTCCGTCTCAGTCCTGGTCAAGTAGTGGCATTCGCACCGCGCGTACATAACTACGCACTCAAAATTCCATGGGCATCGACGGAGGCATAGCTAGCTTGTGATCCACAGTGCGGCTCAACCGACACCGGATACACACATACTTTCACTTTTATTCGTTTCCTTTTCAGGCTTCAATCCCACATGCCCCATCTGATGGCCTGATCATCGGTACTCTTGAAGGACAAACACACCAAGGCGGCAAGAAACACAGGCATATGGGGTACTTCTCTTGGTGGTTTCGTTAACAATCACTCTACCTATTTTTCAGGACCCACGTGCAGCTCTCCCTTGGTTAAGGCATAGTAACTAGCCTCCTGCTTCTTTCATTACTTGTATAAACGCGCTTTAGCGCACCAATGAAATTATAATAAGAACAGTTTGCGGCTCAAATTTTACGGCCCTAGCTTATCACTTGTTCTTCTTTTTCTTCGTTTTTTATCTTTTTTTTTCTGGTAAACCCTATCAGGTAGCACCCATACACTTTGGTACATTTGATGTTTGCCAGGGGCTTCATAGCACCCCATACTATGGCAACAAAAGTCCGAACACTTTTTATAGTATAGTTCGGCACCCTGAATTTAGCATTGTATGCATTGGCTCTGAATCATGTCTTTGGTCAATAGTTGGGTTGCCCGGCTCCTGTGCTTGCTACCTTATGTTCCTCTATATCGGCTAAGGTAGTAAAGGGAGAACTACTGCAATTATGCCTTGGTTTATCCAAAGGAGCACCTTAGTAGAGAAAGCCGAAAACTGATTATCATGATGCGGCGAGAGCCGATCAGCTGTTCGGAGGTTGTAAATCGTTGGAGATTTCTTCCGCATTACGCGAAGGATCGGTACTTCCCGATCAGACGCTTATAGCACTCTAGTTCAGATACTAGGGGATGCGCCCATGTTTTTATTGTCGAACTCCTATGGCTAAGTGAGGGCGTTAAAGCCGCATAGTCTGGTTGCCTGGTTCGTTGCGCTAAACAATTGACATTGACCCCAAAATAGTCTCACGATCATCCTGGGCATGATTTGACATCGAGCCTGACGAGAGCAACTTCAGGATTTGACTTGAGGTCAATCCCGGCAAAGGCTTCTCACGCTCCTCCTCGGCCAAATCTAACATCAGGACCAAGGGAAGTGGCTCGTGTTGATCCTCGGCCTGGCACGCAACTAGGCCCGGGAAGATGAGCTCTCCGCGGAGATCCGCAGTGTACTCCATGTTGTCGAATATCATGATCCAACCTGGAGCAAAGGACTCGACCTAGCCGAGATGGCCAGCAGTCTTGGCGACGAGGGTGACATCGTCGAAGATGAACATCTGGCCCGGCACAAAGATTGCACTAGTCCCGATCTGAGCATTGATCTTGATTCCCGTCGATCTGCAATGATCACCTAGTAGGACCTGCATGGGCCACCACTGACAGAGCTAAATCTGGCAGATCTCGGGATAGGGGATCCTAAGCAAGATGTCGTGGACCGATGGTAACAGGGACACAAGATTTACCCAGGTTCAGGCTCTCCGAAGAGATAAAACTATATGCATGGTCGTGATTTATTGCGTTGGACTGTGTATAGAGTGTAAACTGCAACGAGATTGAATATATTGTCTACGAGTCAGGCCCCTCGGTTTATATAGATACCGGGTGGTCCTAGGGTACATGATCCTAATCAGCTACGTACGAGGTAGATCCTTCCACGAATCCAACGTCTTGGAGTATACGTCAAGTCTTCCGGATCTTCCTTGTATACATCATGGGCTGCCTGATGCAGCCTAGGACGGAACTGACAAGGGGTCCTCAGCCGGTTCACTAGGCCAGGAGTCGACACCGTTACACGAGGAAGACAATAGATGCAAGAAGCTAAGATTGGGTATGGGGTCATTCGTGGGACACATGGCTGGTGTGGGGGATGGGGTCGAAGACAGTCGTGTGCATGCCTTCGCGCCGTACGATCTGAACCGATCAGGCAGCGTTAGACGCGGCCGACGAAGAACAAGTTTCAGCTGGGTGAGGCCAAATGTTTCCTTTTTTCTTCTTATTCTTACATTTTGAGTTCGTGTATATTAAATGAAATCTTAACTAGTTTTTTTAGGACCTGAATATCCAGCGAACATCAAATTTTTAGACATGGCAAATTTTGTTCGTCGAGGATGGCAAGTTTAGTTGACGAGCATGGAAAAATCTACCTTAGTTTATTTTTGACAGGAAATTGGTGTGCTTGTAAACTAATTTTTCATAATCGCGCCAATATAAATTGTCATAAAAAACGTCAGTTTTGCCATGCCTAAAAACTTGTCGTCATATTTTTAGTGTTTCCCTTTTTTAAAAAGCTTAACTAGACAAGGGAAGATTTTTAGCGTCACTTAATCAACATTTTGATCAGTGAAGGGGTTCAGATCGCCAAACAAGTCACAAAAAATCTCAGACAATTCAAATCAAAGCCGAAGACGAGAGAAAGAAATGAAAGCAAAAGATAGGTGGGTCAGTGGGTGAATCAAGGTTATTTAGCGACGCATTGGGATTGCCCGCTCGGGATCTTTCCCACCTAGAAGCCCCCTTCACCCTTGAGGAAGTGGAGAAGGTTGTGAAAGGGGTGCCACTCGACAAGGCGCCGGGACCGGACGGCTTTATGGGACGATTCTATGCCTCGTGCTGGCATATCATCAAGGAGGACATCATGCGGGTGCTTGAGCACTTCTTCCGCGGTGACATGCGTGGACTGCCCTCAATTAACAAGGCGATCATCTCGCTGCTGCCCAAGAAAATGGGTGCGGTGGGGCTGAAGGACTTCAGGCCGGTGAGCCTCATGCATGGTTCCATCAAGATTTTCGAGAAGATCCTGGCTACGCGGTTGGCGGCGGAGCTCCCACATCTTGTGGGCAATCACCAGAGTGCATTTGTCAACGGGCGATCCCTCCATGACAATTTTATGCTCGTGCAGTGCACGGCTAGGCGGTTGCATGCCCTACGGGAGCCCATGGTGCTTATGAAGCTGGACATTTCTAAGGCCTTCGACACCATCCAATGGTCGTTTCTCCTCGAGGTTTTGGAGACCATGGGGTTTGGTGCGAGGTGGAGGGCTTGGATATGCGGTATTCTCTCCACATCGACCACGAGAGTCACTGTTAATGGTGTGCCCAACGAGACGATCTTCAGCTGTTGCGGCCTGCGCCAGAGGGACCCGGTCTCCCCAATGTTATTCATCCTATGCATGGAGCCATTGCACAGGCTGTTCCTCAAGGCCACGGCATCGGGCATCCTCACACCCCTGGCGTGACAAGGTGTACGGCAGCGGCTCTCAATGTTTGCGAATAATGTCACTATCTTCATCAAGCCTCGGCGGTTGGACTTGCAACGTGTGAATCCATCCTCCACATCTTTGGGCAAGCCTCTAGGTTGCGAGTTAACATGGCAAAGAGCGCAACACTACCCATCCGGTGCTCCCAGGAGGAGTTGGCCCTAGTTTGTCACACTTTGGGATGCTTGAGCACTACCTTCCCGTGCAAATACTTGGGCCTCCCACTGTCACTCAGGAAGCTCACGGCGGCCCAACTCCGGGGCCTGGTGGAACAGTTGGCTGCGCGACTACCACATTGGAAGGCGGCAACCCTTCCTAAGAGCAGTCGTGATATGCTCGTACTGTCGGTGCTTTGCGCAATCCCCATACATTCTATGCTGGCACTAGGCTTACCAACAAAGACAATTGTCGCGATGAATAAGGTCTGTCGTGGATTCATATGGGCTGGCAAGGCGGAAGTGGGCGGAGGTGCGTGCGCCGTAGCCTGGAGTCGGGTGTGCACGCCCAAGTGGTCCGGCGGTCTTGCCATACTAGACTTGGCCTGGACGAATGTGGCATTGCAGGCCAAATGGCTATGGCTGCAGAGGGTGGATCGGGAAAGACCCTGGCTGGAGTTCTCATTCTCAGTGCCGAAGGAAGCAACACAACTTTTCTAGGCTGCAACAACAGCTGTCATTGGCAACGGACGGGACACACTATTCTGGAAAGATAGGTGGCTAGACGGTTATCGGTTGCAGGAGTTGGCACCGCGGGCGTACAGCGCAGTCCCAGCACGGACAAGGAAAGAAAGGACCAGGGTGTGTGCTAGCAAGGGAGGTTTGGACCAGGGTCTTCTTTGCCCTAGGTAATTCGGGAGGCGCGCCGCAGGTAGGAGAGGCATTGCAGGCATAGTGCACAAGGCAGAGCGCGCACGGGCATCACGCGAAGACGATCCGCACCATCTGCCTGCTAACTCTATGGGAGTCGTGGAAGCACATGAACGCTATAATATTTGATGGGGCGGCGGTATGGCACGGCTTATCGACAGAATCACAAGTGAGAGCGGGGTTTGGAAGCGGGCGGGCATCTTGCGAGGCGACTTAGCGGCGGCCTTCATAGCGGCACTGGAGTGGGCACAAGACGAGTAGTCGGCTTAGTGCAACGACGGACGGTGATGTGGTGCCTGTACATTTGTGATGTAATGTAACCGTGGAGGACTCTCTCTTCCTTTTTCTTCTTTAATATATGATACGCACACCTGTGAGTTTTCAAGAAAAAAAAGTTTATTTAGCGACCGCCCGCCTCATGCTTTGGTCACCTTACCTGGGCGCGTGCTTTGTTCCGGTGCAAGTGCAAGTGCAACGCCCTCCCGAAAGCAAAGGCAAAAGCAAGCAAAGAACAAAAGAACAGTTCCTCATGCCGTAGCCAAATCTTCTGATCTGAAACAGATTCTAGACGAGATCCTTGGAAGAACACATACGATCCACTTTCTCGCGTCCCGAAGCGTTCAAAGATGCCCAGAGACATGCACAAAAGTTGGGCAAAGCACCGTCACATCTCACATGGCCACCTTTAGCGGCACGCTGCTGCTGCTACATAACAAGCCCTCGGCACCCACCACACGAAGCAGACCGAGTATTTTGCGCTGCAGGAGTCGGTGAGCATCAATGGCTTCTCTGCCCCAGCCATTGCCGTACGGCAGCAGCTACCATCCTTCCGCCGGCTCCGTCCGGCACACTGGCAGGCCGGCGCCCGACGAGGGCGGAGGCTCCTTCGGGCCGGTGCTCGTGGTGCTCGCCGTCGTCTCCTTCCTCTCAGCCGCCGCGTGCATCGCCGGCCGGCTGTGCGGCCGGAGGTCGTCGTCGTCGAGAGGAAAGTCCTCTGCAGAGCAGCAGAGCACTGCAGATGCGGAGAAGGGGTTGGGTACTGCAAAGTGCCCGGCGGTTATGAGGCCCCTGCCGAGCTCCCGCGCCACGGTGCACGACATGGACGACGACGACGTTTTCGAGATCAAGTTCGCGCACGTGAAGCCACCGGCGGAGTGGGAGAAACACGGCGCCGGTGGCGATGGCGGTGGCAGGGTGCCCGCGCTGCCTCAGCCGCTGCTCGGCCCGCCCCGGCAGTACGCGGCAGCAGGCTTCAGGTGCGCTCCTGCTCCTGCAAACGGCGCCGGCGTAGCGAGGCAGGCGCATCCGCCGCAGGTCAGGGGTGCTGGAGATTCGTGCACTGCTCCTGCGAGGCCAACAAAGTAGATGATCGCCGCACGATGTTTCTTGATAGTACGCTCCAATATACTACAGTAGTACTATTAACTACGGCTTCGCATACATCTCCCAGATGCAGAGGTTGAGGATGATTCCTCCTTTTCTAAAAAACTATTAACTACAACATCCTGTAATAGTCTGTGAACATTGAGTTGTGTTTCTAGTTTCGAAATTCGAGTTTGCGTTTCCAGTAACAGTTTAGGCATGGATTCGAACGAGTGGATTACGTGGTACTTGTGATTCTCTAAGACTGTAACTATTTGCGAAATATATATACAAATAAATTAAGGGTTTTCTATAACAAGTTCTGTAAGACTGTAACTATTTGCCAAATATTTATACAAATAAATTAAGGTCTTTTTTATAACAAATTAAGGTCAAAACTCATACTCCCTCCGTTTCACAATGTAGTGCATATATATATATATATATATATATATATATATATATATATATATATATATATATATATATATATATATATATATATAGGGTCACGCTATTCGTCACCCTGGGTGAGAAATAGTTATTCTTCACCCACCTCTATTTTACCATCAATGCATTGTAATTTTACGTTTCGTAAGTTTTGTCTTATTTTCGACGTAAAAAGCGACCGTAAAAAAATATATAATCACCGTAAAAAATATTTTATGTTATGTAAAATTACAAACATAAAAAACCATAGTCTAAAATACACATAAACTGCAAATTTTCTTGTCTTATGACCTATATTTTACATTTCTTATGTCAAATTTTACGTAGTGAATCAATAGAAATGTAACTATTTAAATTCCAAACGTAATTTAATTATGAAATGATCGTAAGATTACCTCGGATGAAGAATAACTTATTCTGCACATGTTTGGAATTCAAATAGTTACATTTCTATTAATTCACTACGTAAAATTTGACATAAGAAATGTAAAATATAGGTCATAAGACAAGAAAATTTGCAGTTTATGTGTATTTTAGACTATGTTTTTTATGTTTGTAATTTTACATAACATAAAATATTTTTTACGGTGATTATATATTTTTTTACGGCCGCTTTTTACGTCGGAAATAAGACAAAACTCACGGAACGTAAAATTACGGTGCATTGATGGTAAAATAGAGGAGGGTAAAAAATAACTATTTCTCATTTTTTTTTCCCCAGGGTGACGAATAGCGTATAGGGTCGCGCTATTCGTCATCCTGGGTGAGGAATAGTTATTCTTCACCCCCTCTCTATTTTGACATCAAGGCACCGTATTTTTACGTTTCGTAAAATTTGTTTTATTTCGTACATAAAAAGAGAATGTAAGAAAATATGTACTCGCCGTAAAAAATATTTTATATTACGTAAAATTATGAATGTAAAAACATAGTGTAAAACATACATAAAATGTGATTTTTCTGATCTTATAACCTATATTTTTGCTTTTTATACCAAATGTTACATATTGAATCAATATGCATGTAACTATTTATATTCCAAACGTAATTTATTTAGGAAGCGATCATAAAATTATCTCGGGTGAAGAATAACTTATTCTGCACACTGGGTGATGAATAGTAACACTATATATATATATATATATATATATATATATATATATATATATATATATATATATATAAAGTCAAACTTTATTAAGCTTGACCAAGTTGTAGAGAAAAATATATATATTTAGAATACCAAATATATTTCATTAGATACATCACAATGTATACTTTCATATTGTATACATTCTGGTGTTGTAGATAGTTTTCTTCATAAATTTGGTCAAAGATTGCAAAGTTTGAATTTTAAAAAGGTCTATATGCACTATATTATAAAGAGGAGGGAGTATTTAGATAGGCGCTCATAACACACGGTAGTAGTATGCTTATTATGCTTATAATAGGAAAATGTTAACTGTTGAACGTTCCCTCTGTGGGGCCCTAGCGAATGCCACCATAGCCTGAATCTGTATCACGCAGATGGAAAAAAAAATAGATCGCTGGCATTTTTGTGTGCTACATGATAACTTTCTTTTGACCATGGCAATTCTTATAAATTTTCCATGACAACTTAGTTGAAATTGCATGATGATTTAAGTGTTCGTTGGGAAATCGCTCCCAGCGGCTGTTCCCCAAATATTGGTGTTTTTATAATAATACTATTACAAATTCTTTTTTAGACGAACCGGAGATTACTTGGAGGGATAGATTCTTGCGGTGAAATCAACGCACCAAGTGTTGAGGCCTAGACTGGGCACTGGTGCTTGCATTTTTCTGGATTTATTTCAGACTTTGATGTTCGTTTAGTGAGAGGAGATGCTTCCGTAAACTACGAGACGCGGGTGCTCATAGAGATAGGGTGTGCGAGAAATAAGAAAAAAAAAGGTATGTGACATATCTTCTTCTTAATGAATTGGCGGCCCTACTTCTTTTAGCCCACGGCACTACCTCTCGACGCGGCCCTTTTCGGACCTGGATTAGGCCCAAAGCAAATGGCCGCTGAAGCAAGACCACATTTCTGAAATCTTCTGCTTCTCATCAAAAAAATAAAAATCTGAAATATTCTCCTGTCCTCTCTCTCTCTCCTCTGCGACGATGCTGCTGATGAGGTCCGCCGCCGCCCCCTGCTCCTTCACCTCCATGCTCCTCCGCCGCTTCACCACCTCCTCCTCCGCTTCATACGCCATCCGCCGTCAGGCCACCCTGGCCCTCTCTTCCCTATCCTCCTCCTCCTCCTCCTCCTCCTCTGCTAGATTCACCACCTGGTCCCCTCCCCCTCTTTCCGGCAGCACCCGGACCGGGGGATTCTCGGCCTGGGCGTCGGCGCCGGGACCGGAAGGGCCCACCGGCTCCACCATCACGCTGTCTATGGAGACCAAGGTACTTCTTGGCACCCCGTTGGCGCCTCTTGCTTCTAATCTTGGTTTCTCCACGGGTGGAGCCGATGTCTCCCAGATGTAAATCCTCTGGTCGCTTACATGTTGTTGTTATCCTTTTTCAGATCAAGGAGCAGCTGGAGGCGGACACTGTCACCGTCGTCGACGCCTCAGGGGATGGCCGCCACGTCTGGTAACAAAATTGACCCTGCCATCGGTTCCATGATTGACCACAGTAGATGTCAAGAACGCTTGCTGTTTCGTGGGCGTAATTTAGGTCCTCGGGCTATCTGTGGAGAGCACACACTCCATGGTCTAGACTTGTAACTGTACTCAAGCAGTAGATGGAATTAATCTGTGGTCTCTTGATCACCTCTTGGTTGCGAGTGACATTTGCGTATGGAGCATCGGTAGTATGGTGATATAGTCGGGATACTTTAGGAGTTATGTGTGGAGTTATATGAATACGTAAGGGACTAGCTCATTCGCTTTTAGATTCAGTTACTTTATTAGACTAGGAAGGATGCATAAAATGGATGTAATGCACTAATGCAGCAATTAATAAGTTAATATTCTTAAAACCCTTTAGATACATGATGTAAACTTTTGAGGAAAGGGACCTGCTGAGTTATCGCGGACAGTGGTAGTGCCAGAGCCAGGGTCTGAATCTGCTCTGTTAGCGACAGTGGTAGTGCCAGAGCCAGGGTCTCGGACGCGGCAGCAAGGCGAAGGGATAGCGCCATAGCGGGGCGTCAGCATGGCAGAAGCTACCTATTAGCAATGACAACTGCAGTGGTGCTAGCAGTTGTGTTGTTAGCAACGATGGATATAATGTTTTTTGCTATACAAGAGTTTACTGGTACAGTCCATGATCCGGACATGTTAAGTAGTGGAGGACTTGTGCAGACTCAGACACCATATTGAGCAATTATGTAAAGAAAAAAGCCCACAAGCTTGGCATAGTATTTTCATGCCAATGATAATCTGAGAAGAAAGCTAACTGCCAGTGTATTTGATGAGCAATGAAGCTATCGCAGGAGAGGTCAGGGACTCAGGGGGCGCAATTCCTGCAAGGCAGCTTATAGATATTGGAGGGCTATGTTGATCAATTCAAAAAGATAGGAGTTGATTTTGTGTTAACGTGATATGGATAGTTCATTGAGCATCATCACATTCATCGTTTATTGCAGTGGGAGAGGCAACAGCATTCAGCATACTGACATGCTACCTGTTCCCGTTGAAAAAATTGATGTGCGCAAAATTGATGTTCAATGAGTTTGCTATTCGAACGCAACGTAAATTTTAGACGGTGAAACTAAATTCCAAGGCACTGGTCATTATCAGAAATATTAAACTGGACAATAATTAGGTTAGATTGATCAAATATCATGTATGCAAAATGCACCCTTAAGTGAATTAGTGTGGCAGACATCACTTAGATACATATTACTCCCATCTCTCTATTATTTCGTGCATCATGGATTGTGGAAAATTCTAGAAATTGACACTGAAAAGAGATAAAAATGGCAATACAACTTAATTGACATGATTGACATCAGAAGTTATCAACCTTCATATTCTGCATCAAACCTTCTCTTATGAATCCGTTAAAATAGTTATCAGGCATTTTCCATACCCGTGTGTAGGCATTTTTATTATTTTCAGCTAGTCCAGTAATGTTGAGGATTGTCTTCAACTGCAAATGGATCCCTCCTTTTCTCAACATGAACTTAGTAATTCTACAATTACGGAAATCCAGGATAGTCTGCTGCTAGCACCAACAGTTTTCTGTTCATGAGTTGACAAAAATAACATTAGTTATATCTGTAGGCTACTTATGTTTAAATATACTATATTTGAGGCAACATTGTTTGGGATTCTTTCATTAACTGATGCTTGATTGGTCCTACTATTTTCCTTTGGTTATATTTCTGAAACTAGACTTGTCCCTTTTTTTGGCCTCAGCATAGACGTGGTTTCGAAGGCGTTCGAGGGGAAATCCGCTGTGAACAGGCAGAGAATGGTTTACAAGGTTATATGGGAGGAGCTTCAGAGCACCGTGCATGCTGTGGACCAAATGACCACCAAGACTCCAGGTGAGGCGGCTGGCAACTAGTAATCGAGATCTGCATGGCAAAAATTAAACTGTTGTACACCAAGGCCACTGCCAGGACCGACATGAAGACATTCTTTTGTAGGATACACTTTTCATGTACACGCCAACTGATGGATCAATAATTTGGGGTGTGATTGGCATTACCTCCATAAGAAATATATTTTTTGGCTATAATTAGCATTTTGTTTTTGATATGGCAGCTACTTGTCCAAAGGATTCAAGAGTTAGAATCCCAGGTTTGATCTTTGTTTGCTTTTCATGTGACTGATCCACTTGAGGTCTATCGTTGCTTGCTTTATGCAATCATCAGGCGAAAAATAGGAATAGAGGTTAGGGAGAATGGCAAATAGATGTAGAAAATTGATTGAAACGACCAAACTGAGATAATTGCAGTGTACCTGGTGGCATTCACCTAGATACCATGTCTAGGCAATAAGGTAAATTACGACTTTATGTAAAATTATAGTTTGACATTTTATTTTCAAGCAATCAGCAGAGCTCTGCCTTTTCATTGAGCAAGCAAGAGGATTGAAAAAAGACAACTCTGCCTAAGTTATGCACCAGGACATGCAAGGATTATCTTGGCTTTGGAGCTTTTGCAAATCTTCTGGTGCATGAGCGTGTTGCATGGTGCGTTTTCTCTGTTCAAAATTGTTAAGAGTGTAAACAGATAAAAGACAACCACCACCAGAAAACAACATTCGTCTCACGATATAGCTATATAGATACCGACAATCCAACACTCTGTACACACACCAGCAAACAAGTCGACATCGGCACATTACAGTTACCGGGCGACCATCCTTCCTCGATCGGAAGTTCCTAAGCAAACATTTTTTTGGACTTAATAAGTTCACAACGAGGCACACAGGGAAGCAAAACAACTAAGCTCCCACGTTCATCTTGTCGTCATGTGCTTCATTTGCAGCTTCAACTTTTGGAATAACCTCCACATTCCCCATCTGCACATCTGAAACTGAATCACCGCGGGTGCCAGCAGCCGCAGCTGGTAAGGGAGCAGCCGGCTTATCAGATGGCCCTCCTTGATCTGGGTTGCAAACCACGGTCACCTCGGCAGTGTTCACGTCCATCATCTTGTGTGCCTTTTGGGGTTTCTGCTCAACTGGGCTAACATTCTGAGCATCTGCAGACGCCGCCGCTCTAGATGCGTGCAAGATCTGGAGCCTGAAATCAGTTTCTGGTCGACGGCATACCTTCCTCAGAGGAACAATCTCCTGTCACGTCAAAAGAAATGTAAAATCTAAGTATTTGTCTGAAACATCATACTCGTCACTCTGCTTTCCGTTTTATTTGACTACATAACAAGATAATTAGCCTGAACAAAAACCATAGTATCTTGCACTAATTTTTCCCATAATTTCTTCCTTTAACATTTTTTTTTTGTTTGGCTGCCAAAGAAATTGCAGGTTGGAAATGAAATCACAAGGAAATTCCAAAGCAGGTTTTGTTGCCTTCAGAAACTGGGGTGGGTTTTAATGGGTCCACAAAGGACCATGGCGTGCTACCCACTATTCATGTCCAGGCATGTTATGAAGAAAACCATGGCCAACTACATACAAATCAGAGGGGTGGAGGTCTGATTTTTGCCAGCTCGGGTTGTATGTGTCATCAAATCTTCGTGGAATCAAGGATAAAGCCCAAAATCAAATTCTATATGCAGGCAAATAGCCCTGGAACCAGAATCGCAACTCCAGGACCCTAGTCCCACATCTGACATCCAAAATGGTGTAACACTGGAACCAGAGTAAATGCCTGAACGCTCAACAGAGTTAGACAGAAGGAGAATTACCTCAGAGTGATCATGATCATACCGAACAAGAAACCTGCAGCGGCACCCTCTTACATCATGCCTGCGCCTTTGAGCATCAAGAACACGAGCGTCAAAATAGAGGGCCTGCTCTTTGCCTTCCTGTTCAATTCAGCAAAGAAATATTTACTCATGTGAGAAATCAACTTGGATAAACGGTAACACTACATTACAAGACAACTAAATCAAATCAAAATAGACTGGCCCTTTGTTCAACTTTACTTCACTACTTACCCACTGACCAAAATTCCTTACTAAGACCCTCAACAATACTCCAATTTTGAGTACAATACTGTCTTGAACTAGCAGTAAACTCATGCACATTTAATCTCAACGCTCTAATTTACCGTTCCAGGTGTTTGTCCAACTACCAACACAATGATTTTTTAGGCAGCCTTTATTTGATGGAAGTTGATTTATCCATTTTATAAATGACCAGAGATAGGTTACAGCCTCCATTTTCCAAGAGAAGCTTTCAGGGCTCACTTCAATAATAAAGTAATGAGAATATTCATTGGATAAATTCACACCCAATTTAGATTAAAAATCAGTTCTTCTACTCATAAGTATGACTAGAAATAAAATGCAGCGATTTCACAGTCCTTTTGCCATTCACACCTCAACTAATAAATTGTACAATCAATGCTGCCAGTTGGACCAAGTGGCATCACAATGAAATTCTATTACGAAATATGATTACCAAGAAAATGGAAAGCCACAGGAAACAGATGTTGTACTTAAATGTCCTATTCATTGCAACTATAGCGCTGCATATATCATACGTATAAAATACATGCAGCACTGGAACTTATACTTCTTACAGATTAAAGTAAAGGCATTTAATAAGTATATGTACTGTCAATCACAACACTTGAAAATGCACAGACTGGAATTACAACTTTATAGTTCACACAAACAAGAAATAGAGGCTATGAATTGCAGAGCCTTGAGTATCAACAAGGTTGAAATATATAATCAATTACTCTTAAAAAGGACCAAACAAGTGACTTGGCTTAATAAGCAACAGTAATCTGTTTGCCATGTGCACCACAGTCAAAACAGAAACTTTGGAAGACCCAAGACTTTTGGCAGGTGAAACCCGGCCGACATACCCCCACTCTATCAGAGGCCAACAAGTAATAGAAATAAAATAATCTCGGAATAATAAGTTAACAAGCAGAATTTTCAAGTGCCAAGTCAGGTGAACAGAAGTCCTTTAAGATGATGACTACCTGAAAACAAAGAATGAGATCCCCAGGAAGCACAGCAACACATTCTGCAGATTCACATGGAAGAGACCGCAGCCGCACACATTTACGAACATTAATCCATTCATCCTCCTCAGGCCCAAATCCAGAAAATCGAACTTTTACTTCCTGAAACACAAAAAGTTAATAAGTGCAAGCACAGTTGGCGTAACGCACAGGTAGTAAACCCACTGTGGAGAATGATTAAACACTAGAGGAACGTGGGCATTATATAATTGTTGAAAAATGAGCGAGTCTGGTTTTCAACCCTCAACTGTGAAAAACACAAATCACCCCTAAGACTGGTTTTGACAGTAATCTTTGCCACGTTGGCAGCCAAATCCTCGATCTTTGTGAATCTTAAGTACCAGCTTGACAAGCCACATCAAGTCATCAACAGTTTGTTTCTCTCTTCTCAAACCATACTCAAGTCGGCTCACAAGCCTCGCAGCAACTGAGCCACATGTATCACTTAGAACTCAACAGCTTGTGCAACACCACACTAACCCTTGGGTGCCCGTCAAACATGTTTGCCTTCCGTGCTTGCAACATACACTACACGTACAGTGGTTCACATCGCACTTCAACCACACACAGTTCCCGCAAGGTGATGTACAGACTAATTTGGATGCAAAGTTATTTCCGTACTATGGCTGTGCTTCTTCCTTTGGTGTGTGTGGAGTCAACTAAAAGTCTAATTGTCTAAAACAATACTACTGCTACTGCTTCTGTAATTCTCCATTAAGCAAATACTCCCTCCGTCCCAAAATAAGTGACTCAACTTTGTACTAACTTTGCACTAAAGCTAGTACAAAGTTGAGTCACTTATTTTGGGACGGAGGGAGTACTAGAATTATGGCAAATCATCAAGCTTGGGCAAATACATCAAGAAACAAAGCTTTGGCGGCTAGTACAGTGGTGGTGGGTGACTAGTAGTTAGCACAGAGTTGGATGAATCAGTTAGTTAATTTGGAAATTGACCCAGCATGGAAGCCTATGCTTTGCAGTTCACATGTGTATGAGTCTGGGTCTTCTCTTGGGACAAGATTCTGGAGTAGGTGTGCTTGTTTCTCGAGGCCACACGCTGCAGCATAGTGCAGGAGGGCTCTTTGGCTCAAAAATGCCCCTGCTTTTTGCTGGCTGTGTGGAAGAGAAGCAGCCAGGCTTTGATTATGAATGGACCTTGCAGGGACAATGATAAAGTCCTGTGGAGCTGTCATCACGGTCACATCATTGATGCTCGGATCATGACATCACGATCACGGCAAGCAATCGGAATTGGATGGCGCACACTGTGTCGCATGTAAGGATGTTATATTGCACGTTTACACCATATCAAATCTCCAATATTTTCCCTATGCTGAATATAGATCATGGGATTGGTATAATGGGTGGGTGGGGGGGTCCATGGTGGCAATGCAGCTGAATTCGCTTGTTACATGACCAAACTGAAATGAAAACTGCCACTGTAGTCTGATACGCTTCAGTTCCTACAGTTCAAGGGTGTAAATAGCATTGTGGTTCAGCATTTAAAATCGCTTCTCATGATAATTGAAGGGGGTGAATTAACTTATTTGTTTTAAAAACTCTGGCATGTCTATACTGCTATACAATCTTTAAAACAAACATTCAATCTATGTATTTTGTTTTACATGTCAAAACACAGAGATGGTGAAAAGTAAAAGTTATACCATCTAATATCAGCTTCCCATATAAGCCTAATAAAGTAGAAAGTACACAAGGTTCTTGGAGTTATGTTAACTGATCAGTACTTTATTAGTACCATCTTGTAAAAGTGTAGAGCAGGATGGAGTGATACTGTGCCGACTCACAGGTCTTCTACAACACAAAGTTAGATAAGACAGGTGTTCAAAATGTTTGAACACCAACACTGATCCGGCAATAAGTGTTGGGGAAATCTAGGACACAATGTCATCTAACTATAAATAGATGAAAACCAGAATCATCTCTAGTTTTAGTGCTGGTAAAGCGCTTGAATAAATAATGGCAGAAGTGAATTTAGTAAATCAATCATATTTAACAACAAAAAACATGGTCATTACCGGGTCCCCTGTTTCAAAGAGCCTGTGGGACAGAAAGGCAGCAACATCATACCTGTAACAACAAAGATTAGTCATGCATATAGAACTAAAAGGTTTATGCAAGTAAACTGAATCAACGATTAAACCCCCCACCCCCCGCACACACACCGACAGACAAACCAACCCACACTCACACACAAAAATAAATCAACTATACACAAAAAAACAGACCACATCTGATCTGACATCAAAAGAGGAAATGATGAATATATATATATCTGCATACCACGCGCCATCTCTAGCTGACTTTGCTTCAAACTCGGCCTGGCCACCATCCGAAGCACTCTTTCCTGATTGGTAACGACAATATCAATAATCCATAATCAACATGGTTCATGGCAGGTCGGTTACAAACTAAAATCTTCTAAACGATAATAAATACTGAAATTGTTATAGCAGCCAGCACCCAAACAATAAGCCCTAGACATTCAGAGGCACCCCTACACCCAACATAAGCAGCACAGCCATCATGCATAAATTCTGCACCACCAAAGCAATAGTACCAATATACCATCATCATTATCATCCTAACCACCAGCGGAATTGCATGCTATGGAAATGAACAGCATAAGTAAATATCGAGTTATGGGCGTTCCAGCAGCCACCTGAGTGGGATCCGGGGTAGGAAGAGGAAGACCCCTGAGCCCTGAAGGAGGCCGGGTGGTGTTCCTCGGCCCCCGTGGGCAGCATCTTCCCCTGCGGCGGCGGCGCGCCCCTGGGGGTCCTGGCCCGCTGCGAGTACCTCCGGTTCTGGAACCAGTTCCAGACCTGCGCCGACCCGCAAAATCCAACATAGATCGGAATAAGACGGGCCCGTCTCGTATCCCCAGGGAGGGAAATAAGGGGGAATTAAATTCGAGTGGGGAAAACCTAGTACGTACCTGCTTGTACTGGACGGGGATCTTGCCGGCGCGGGCGGCGGAGGCGGTGAACTTCTCGGCGAGGCCCTGGATGACGTTGCGCTGCGGGATGGCATTGTTGAGGTGGCGGAGGTGCTCCTCCATCTCCGCCACCTCCGCGTGCGTGAACCGGAACGCGGGGCCCCCGCTGCTCGGCGGCCGCCCCATCCTCCCCCTCCGGCGCTGCTGCGAGTGGCGCGGTGAGGAGGCTCGACGGATAGATCGTCGGAGTAGGGAGACTGGAGAGGGGGGAGGGAGGAGATGCGTTGCCGGTTCAGACAGGCAGCCGCTGATCCGCCACGGGATCTCGCCTCTGTGTCTCCTGCGGCTGTACCGTGTGCCGCTGCCTGTGTTGCCTGCCTTTTCTGCGGGATCCGAGCTGGGTTGCCTAGCCGAACTCCACGACCGAACATCCGTTTTGCGCAGATTCTGTAGGCGTGTTTGGCAGCCGCAGTGACCGCCTGACCGGGCCTGCTAGCTCATGCCTGGCTTAGAATAGGTTGTATTTAATTTTGTTGGTAAAATATTTATGTCATCAACTAACAAGCTATCATACAACTACTTTAATGGATTGTATGTAAGGTTAGTCATAATGGAAGTAATTTAGCTAGTAACATAGCGCATTTCAAAAAAAAATTACTAATGTGGCATGTAGTTAATGAGAAGTGGTAACATAATATGTTAATGTAACATAACGGTTTTCAAGACAAGATGAGTCTACAAACTAATAAATGAAGTCATCTATGACACCACTACTATGTTACTTTGCACTATGAAGGTAGTAACTTAGACTAGTGTCATTTGCATGACACTAGTATAAGTTACTCTCCACTATGACCAGTTTAAGCTATCCAATAGATGGTGAGAAAATAAATGTGATTGCTCTCTATTTTACCTTGGAGCTTGTGCAAAGCTTGTTGGTCAATCTACATACAACTTTGCTCTCTCTTCACATTTAATACATGCCACATCATCACTATGTCCTAGGTGGCAAATTTACTAACACCAATCTTACAACTGTTGAAGATGCCCTTACACGAGTCTGGTTGAGTAAATGCAGCCTCTAAATCAACATCTGCAACCTGTTTGATTGCCCGCATTAGGGTATAGTTTAGCACATAGAGTTTGCTTGTCCATATTGTCTGAACTGACACATAAGCATGGTTGTTTGGTTGCACACATGATGCGAGGTATGCTGACTTCTTATCTTATGTGGAGGTTACCTTACACATGATCACATCTAGCACACCAACGTCATAATACTGCTGGAATGGCGACGAATTGCACGATGATGATGAAGTTCTTCACCACAAGGCGGGGCGCCGTCTTGGCAACTGCAACATTGCCAACATCAACCACGTCAACTGTGTGCTTTTTCGCCCATAGTTGGCGTAACCTTCTTTTGCCGCCCGTCTAGTCTTAAACCTTCTATGGTTGTTCTTGTTGTAAGGTGCAACTTATTCACTGCAAGTTTCTCATGAACTGTAAACCCCTGGTGCTTTTCTGACAAACACCGCATACCATTTGTCCTAGCAGTGCACAAGAGCAGCAGTTGAAGCAGTAAGCAAAAGAACAATCAAGAAGCAAGCAATGGAGTAGAAGTAGTAAGCATGCATGATCATATGGCATAGCAAATTCTAACATACCACTACTATGATGACATCGTACCACCACACCGAAAAGAGGGTGTCATCCTACCACCGCAAGTTCACGATCATCATGAGGGGTCAGTATATACCACCTCAACAAAATATACATACCATAAAACAGTTTTCAAGGCTTAGCTACACAAAATATGTGTCATCATAGTCGTCGCCATCGCCATCGCCATCGCCATCCAGGATAATGCACACGGTAACCAACAACAAGCTCTAGTAGTAGTGCTTGCTCAGCCAGCTCCTAAGCCAAAGCACCCTGTGGGCGTCAGCCATGGCAACAAACCCAACACCCTGGGCCTTATTTGTAACGCCCCGAGACCGATGTGCCAGGTGTCCTCCAGTTATTCGTTGTTGTTGCCTTGTCATTGCTTGCATGTCATGCATTGCATATTATGTCATCATGTGCATTTCATTTGCATACATGTTCGTCCCATGCATCCGAGCATTTTCCCCGTTGTCCGTTTTGCAATCCGGCGCTCCTATGTCATCCGGTGTCCCTTTCTACCTCTTTTCGTGTGCGGGTGTTAAATGTTTTCGGATTGGACCGAGACTTGTCATGCGGCCTTGGTTTACTACCGGTAGACCGCCTGTCAAGTTTCGTGTCATTTGGACTTCGTTTGATACTCCAACGGTTAACCGAGGGACCGAAAAGGCCTCGTGCGTGTTGCAGCCCAACACCCTTCCAATTTGGCCCAAAACCCACCTAAGACCTTTCCATCATCTCGGTCGTTCGATCACGATCGCGTGGCCGAAAACAACACCTCATTTGGACTCCCCTAGCTCCCTCTACCTATATATATGTGGCTCTCCCCGATTTTTCGCGCAGTCCAAACCCTAGCTTCTTCCCACTCCACCGCCGGACATGTCCGCGCCCGCCGGACGCGTCCAGCCTCCACCTCACCCCGGCCAATCAAGGCTTGCCACGTCAGCTCCGCCGCCGCCTCGTCCAATCGCGCGCCGCCACATCGTCCCGGTGCCCCGCCTCTCCACCGCACGGCCCGCCGAGC